AAGCCCTGGATGGCTTGTAGGTTGGCTGGGTCATTCATGAACTGAGTCATGCTTGGTGGGAACGTTACCCTCGGTCCAGCGGAAGGGACGGGGGTCACGAAGGGACTGATCACGCTGGCCGTCGGGACAGAGCTCAGACCCAGAGGCAACACCGGGGCTGAAATGACCGGTATGGTAGCAGCCACAGGGATACTGGCTCCCTCGTTGGTGGCCTGCACCTGAGCAGAAGTAGCGTTGATTTGTTGGCTGGAAGACATTTCGAATGGTGTTTTGGTGGGTAGGTTTGTGTTTAGGAGAAGAAACCTTAACGGTCCCACGGGTGGCGCCAAAAATGATGGTGTAAATTACTTGACCGGTCAGACTATGCTAGACCGGGTCTAGAATAGTTTGTTCGATTTGGCAAAGTAATAAAGGTAAAAACACGCAGATCGACCGGTAGGACTTTAGGTGGAACACTTGTAGCCCAATTTGTATTATAACGGAGAATGCACGGGTGCTTTTACAAGGGAGTTTAGGGGAAATGGATTCGGATCCCTCTTTCTGAGGTTTACATGAGTATTTATACTAGGCTAAGGTGACAGGACCACGTGCGCCCACGTGGGGGCATGCTGTTGATGTGGTGCGAGGTGACTGGTTTCGTCCTCAAGCTGCCTTGTCGCCTTGTGAAGGGGATCATTCCCTTTGTCAAGTAGTGCCTTGGATGGATTCTCCAGCATCTCCAGTTGTCCTCTACTGACACGGGTCGCTACACGCCAAGCCCTCGCAGATCCTCCTCTGCTGACACTTTCCAACCCCAGAAACTACACCGGGTAATCTCCAAGGGACGAATTTATCGAAATCTGGAATAAATAGGATGATAACGTAGTTTGACCGGTATACTTTTTTGTGAAGTGTACCGGTCATTATTTGGCCGATGATATATCGTTTTGCTGGTGATTTAAGTCTCCCTTCCAAAACTTTCGAGATTGACCGGTCAAAGATTTGGCCTTCTCCTTTGACCGGTCTTGGGTGAAATACACCCATCAGGTTTCATTAAAAAATTACTATATTCTAATTATGTCACTCTTCTTCTTTGACTGTTTTAAAAATTTCGCTTCTTATTCTCTTCTAAAAAGTTCTTTGTCTGATACTCTGATCATTTATCATGCTAGACCTACTTGGAAGAAAAATATTCCTTTTAAAATTAACTTTTTATTTTAGTTTATGATGCTTGACAAGGTTTATTTTCAATAAGTATAAAATTTTAAAAAAATTATATATTTAAAAACTATATCAAAAATCTTCTTAAAATAGAGATGTCATGATTATATTATTTTATAAAATGGACAACGAAAATAAGCTAACAAATGAATAAAGTTTGACCATGCGAAGGGAGTAATTCAAGTTAAAAACCAGTTTTAACAATGCTCATCCGATTATTACTCTATTAGATTATTTTTTTCATTTTGTTGGTAACACGTACAGTATAATTCATATCCATGAAAAGTTAAACATGAGAATTTTAAAATGAAATTGCAAAAAAGATTTTTAAAAAAACAACTTAATCCATATATATTTAGAGCATGTACGTTATAAAATGAAGTGTATACATTTATGAGTTATATTGTTCATTGGTCATATAAAAAAGTACTCGGTATAGATTTTTCGAACGAATATATTGCATGATTTATTTTAAACAATCAATGAAAATGTGTAAATAAAAAATTAATATGATTTTGTTAATAATGAATAAATTTTTATTTTGAGACCAGCGTTGATAGTGGGTGGCATTAAAAAAAGGGCAAGATTCTCATGACATTGGGAACCAATGTCATGCGATGACCCGAGGGCGCTCCGGTGCATCGTTCATAAAATTGACAGTTCCTACCCCTCTTAACCCCCCTCCTAACCATCAATTTTACGAACGGGGCACCGGATTGCCCCTGGGTCATCCCATGACATTGGTTCCCAATGTCATGGAAACTTTGGTGTAAAAAATATGTGATACTAAAATCTCAATTCAAACAAGCGTACGTTAATTTATCCACTACCAATAAAAAAGGTGATCATAAATTTGGGAGGTGCAACTAAAGAGCTGGAGTGGCCGTATATGAGTTCGGGGTAGAGTGGGGTAGGAGGTTCACTGGGAGTTTAGGAAGAGTAGAAACCGTCAATATTAGGAACGGAGCATCGTATGTCTTCCGAGGGATCGATCCCGGTGTATTAATTATAATATGATATTCTCTACACCTCCAAAGACATGGCCATCGAGACCGACCTTGGTCCTCAGAGCCAACCTCGGTCACTGAACAATTTTTTTCCTAAAATGTGTGTCAATCGTATATTTGAGTGAAATAATTTTGATGATATCTTTAATCTTACATCTTTTGAAGAAATATTCGATAATATACAATAAGCTTATTTTGACACCAAGGGGTGTTGTCATATTATGACACTATTTCAAATCGAGGACCCTACCACCTGCAATATTGTAGGGATCTCAATTAGAAATTGAATCGTAACACTGCATACTATTTTACTTTGTGTTTTCATGTTCCATTCATATCATTTCACCCGAGAACTCCAATTAACTATAGTAGCTTATGTAGTAAAGATTATTCCAGTTGTTACATTTTATTATATTTTATCAAACAATTTATAGTTGGTTCAGAAATATTTCACTTGTATATTTTACTAATAGGTTTGTTGCTAGTTAGATCTTTTTGAAAGGCAAATTGGTCAAACACGATAAAACTTGCTAAGAAAATTAACATGTGTACGTTAACGTCATTTCCCTTTTTCACATATTTGGTTCCCAAGCCTAGAGGCCGTGGAGTTATTTAACAGGATCTAGCAGGTCATGCATATTAATGTCTTAGCCTCTAAAGCTCATAATTATCTTTTTAATGAGATCAAATTTACTATACAAAAGAGGATTGATGCACTGCTTGTTCTCCGTTTATCTGTTACTCCCTCCGTCCAAAAAGAAAGTTATGTTTCATTTTTTACGCATCTCATAAAATACTTCTATATCGTCTCAAATGTTTAAAAAAAACTTTCAAAACGACCCACAATAAAGGATAAATATGGTAACTTTTAGGCATTTTAGATGTGGGTAGAAGTGTTCTTTGGAATGAGCAGAAAATGAAATATAACCTTCTTTTTTATATGGAGGGAGTACTTTTTTTTTTGTAATAGGTTAAAAGTGATTAATTGTACAAGTAAAGCTAAATGGATAGAGGCATATTTATAAAAATCCCATTTTGATATAATATTCGGATATTCCGCGTTTGCCTACTTACACTCCAAACCAACATAAGAGATGAAGGCTTTGTTTGGTAACAGCGTTTTCGATTAGCGTTAGCGTTTTGGATAAAATTTTAACGGTACAGATTAATTCTGAAAACGCTAACGTTAAAGGCTACCGTCGGATAGCTTTTTCAAAACGCTAACGCTAATCTCTGACGCTGATGCCAAACGGGGCCGAAATTAAAGAGTTAGAAAACATAAATCCTGATTTAACAACGGTTTTGCTCACGCTTAACGAACACAAAATCTTAATGACGCTTTTAGTAATGTTTTAGGATGGGGATGATGATGATGAACTGGCGTAGCAGCTGGAGTCTTGTGAAGACCATGGCAGAGGCGACCTGCCACGTGTCTCTTTTCGAAATTTGGTTTCACTACACTCCAAACAACACGCACCCCATCACCCCTCTCCCTCGAATCTCCTGCAGAAATATAATATTCACTCCATTTTTCTCTCTCTGGGTATTCGTTCTTTCTGTATATTCATCGAAGAAATTTGTTAAGCTTTCTCTTCTTCATCCTTTTGAAATCACCCTTGGGAGGTAATAATAATAATAATGATCTTCTCGAGTAAAAAAACTCCTCTCTTTTTTCTTGTTGATGTCTTCAAGCATTCAAATTCCCATTTTCAGTCTATTTGTTCTTTTCTTCGTTTTGTAGCTCTCAGAAAATGGTAACTTTTTCTTTCAATTCCTTTCTTGTTATGGATCGTTTTTTTTATGTAAAAACTGATGTGGCAGAATGGGTCTTTCGATTTCCTGGTTTGTTTGTTCTTAGTGACATGAAAAAAACGTTGTTTGGTTTAATTTTCTCTGGTAAGTAGTCATGAACTGAAATTTATACGTTTAGACCAGAGAATGGCATTCGGAATTGAAGAACACTGTAATGTATTTAGTTTCTGAATCTTGAAAATCGATTTGTATTATATTCATTCTTGATTCTGTAGGGAAATGTGTTTTTTTTCTGGGCTAAAAGAGATCAGAGATTAAAAGAAAAAAAAGAAACTACTATGGAGATGGAGTGGAATTGTGAAAGTCTGGTGATGCTAAGGTCAAAACCAGGTGAAGTTCCAAAGAATCTGCTGCAATGGGGAGATGCTGAGTCTTTCAATGGTGTCTATGTTGGGAGACAAGAAGATTCAACTCTCAAGGGCAAGAAAATGATGCATTGCAGTGAGGGAGAGGAAGGGGAGAAGGAGAAATATGTAAATTCTCATCCGACTATCGATACCACAGTTGGATCTGTAGAGCCATTGATGGGGCTGAGGCTTGGGAAGAGAACATATTTTGAAAACAACAATAGTTCCCACCATAGCTCATCATCTTCCCATGTCATCCCTGGCTTATCAAAGAGGGCAAAACCGTCTTCTTCCCGGGCTGGACAAGTGTACCGGTGCCAGGTTGACGGCTGCAATCTGGATCTTTCTTCTGCTAAGAGCTATCACCAGAAGCACAGAGTTTGCAACAACCATTCAAAATCCCCTTGTGTCCTTGTGAACGGGTTACAACTCCGGTTCTGTCAACAGTGCAGCCGGTATGGTACATTTTAATGAATCATTAGTTCAATTAGTTTGATTCTAAAAATGTTGTTTACAAGAACTTATTCTTAAAATGTTGTCCAATCACTTTGTTTCTGAACATGCATAATACTTTGCAAGAATAGAGATGTTACCTTTTAAATTTTAATTCATTAATGTGAAGGTTCCATAGCCTGTCAGAGTTTGATGAAATGAAACGCAGTTGTCGCCGGAGACTTTCCAATCACAATGCCAGGCGGCGTAATCCACGTCAGCAGTGTGATCCCACTCCATCCCTTTATGGTCTGTCAAATTCATTCATTCATCTCCCATCTGTCGCAATGAGTTCTGCTTGCTAAGAAGTGGTCCTCAGCTTTTATTGATAGCTTGTAGATTATGATCACAGCTTCCCATGTTTCTTCTTGAATTTTGCAGATGATGAGCAACAGATGAGTTTTGTGCAGAACAAAGGCCAACTCGTCCCCTCAAAAACCGCTAGCTGGGAATCCCAGAGCTCTAAGCACACTGTTGGCAACGAATTGACTTCTGAGCTAGAAAAAAGCAGCCTGATCAGGCAACTGTACCTGCCAAATGGTAGCGCAAACTCTGCTGAGGTCTTCAATCTAGGTTCGTTTTCCCCCTATTCCGATCCATATATATACACTTTTGAAATGTACATATCTGCCATTATAAAGCCAATTTTTTGTGGGTTTCTTGATCAGGTGCCAAGGGATCATCATCCCTGTTGCCTTCACACATACCAGCTGAGTTTTGTGCTCTCTCTCTTCTGTCATCTACTTACACGGGAGGGGTCACATTCGACCCCAAATTCATCTCAAGCAGCAGCAGCAACGACAACATTGTGTGCGCAAATCAGAGTGGATTTCCTGAGACAATGCTGCATGACAACAATATCCCACATCAGCTCATTCCCTTCGCCTCAACGGAGTACTGGCAATGGCAACAGGCTGCACCCAATCTCCATGCCCATCATCATCATCACCACCATCATCATGCCTTTGTTGTCCCCAACGCCGATCTCTTTCCAGATATCCAGTGGTTCAAAGCTCCGTGTGACCCCACTGACTTTTACCTCAGTGCTTTCAAATGACAACCCAGAGCCCTCCTTGCTTACTTTCGTTTGTATTTTTTTGTTCGCGCATTGAACTGAACTTATTTTGGCCGAGTATCACCTGTTTCCCTTTACTGTTTTCCGATACTAAAATCCTAGACATTGAGTTTCTAAACTTACAAATTATAGCTTGAAGTTCTCAAATGAATGGCTATTGTCAATTCTTAATTGCTCTCTTGGCTTCATTGCAGAAAAAACAACAATGCTGCAATCTTTCTTTTTCTTTAGTGGATGTTTACTACATGATTATTAAGTGGCACTTATTAAGTTTAGTTTTTGCAAGTTCATGCTTAATGCATATTAGTACTTGGATAAGTTCTCTCAGGGCCGTAAAAAAAACAATCACATCTCTTTTTCTTGCATGTTCCAATAAAGTTTTACTTTTTCTAATGAAAAAAACAGATCTATTTTTAGGAGTAAGACTATGTACATTTGAGCTGTTTTTTCTTTTTAAGGAATTAATCGTGTGATTTATACTCCATATTATTTTTATATCCTCTAGGTAAACACTAACCACCCAAGTTTATCATTATTTTCAAGAGTGTGGGGTCAAATGTGGTTTTATTTTGGACGGAGGGCATAATTGTAAATAAATAATAGGCATACGAGTACGTCGATACATATACTTCACGATGAGTGTCTCAAGTAGGAAATGACACACGTGTTCTTTTCAAATTGCCGTGTACCTAGTACAAATTCGTCACGGACCCTTAGCTGGCTGGTGATAATAGTTTATCTTATGCATTTACGCTACAAACTCCACCTCAATTGAAAATGGAGGTGATGATCACGATCATGGAGTTGCCAATAAACACGAAAATTGCTTGTAGACGCGAGTTAGATGAGATCATGTAGGATGAACACAACCTTATTTTAGTGTCTCAATGGCAAATTGTGAAACATAGGATGGCTCACATTGAAGCATTACAACAAAGTATGACACATATGATGGCTCGAAATGCGGCATCACGAGTAAGGTGGGCCATGCCCTCCCAGCGAAAGAAAGAGAGAAACAAAGATTCATCATAAACTCACACACAATGCAGAACTTATTCCAATTCTAATTCTAACACCAAGCCAAGAGTCCAAGCTTCAAGCAACCTGGCTAGCTGCTACTTGCATGTCTTCCTTCCTACATGTAAAAAACAACATCACCTAGTGAGTGTCAAACTTCCACACTATTTGGGAGAACATCAACATTCCTCAGCAGTAGAAAGAGCTTTGAATGTAAGACTACTATACAGATGCAATGACAATTTACACAGACATTGCTCCAATCATCACTCAATTAAACATAACGATACCGAATATCCGAACACCAAAGCAATCATTGTAAAAACGAAGCATGAAACATCAACTGAACACGAATCTATTCGTCTTGGTTTCGTTATAGATCAAATTGACCTAATACTATGATTGCTCAACTGAAACCAATGTTACATTGGTTAGTTCCATTGTCATAACTTATACGGAGTACTCCGAAATTTAAAGACTATGCACTGTATTTCTATAAAATCTTGATGACCAAATTTCTGGGTTCGATCGATTATCCAAATCATTTTCAAATTAATCACACTGCTAAATGTGGACAATGTGTTCAAACAATTGAACATAAAAGGTTGCACATTTGGATTCTGATTTACTGGTCAAGAACTGCAATATCATCAACTATGACAAAACTATGTTCTTAAACTTGAGCAGAATATATGAAACTCACATAATCACTTGTCAGTGGATGTGGTAGAAGAGGGGTAAGGGGTGGAGACGTCGTGGCGGTCGTCCTGAAGAAGGTCGTCGTACGGATCACGGCGGCCGGGAGCTTGGCTGATCTTAGCATCCCAAAATATCTGAGCATTGTGGCGGTCGAAAGTCCAGAAACCGTACGGACGAAGAGGAAGGCTCCACATCTCCTTCGTCTGCTTGCACCTGTCCTTCAACGTGTAGAGATGTTCGCGAAACTTCCGATCCCTCTCCTTCGGATCCTCCATCATTCTCAGAATCATGTTCTCGGCGAATTCCATGACGAACTTCATCTTCCTCTGCCAAATCTTAAATCCTTGCAGGAATTGACACGCAGTTAGGCCCTTATCGAGAAATTCGAAGTGGATAGAAACAAAAACAGAAATCGAAAATGGAATGCTGTTTACCAGTGATTACAAAAGTCTTTGGAAAATCTCAGATAAGAAAAGAAGAAGATGAAGAAGAAGAAGAAATAATAATCACCTAGCGGAGCTCAGGGAATTGCAGGATCACAGATGCCCCGGTGATGGAGTAGGAGGATGTGAGCTTCTCCTTAGGCCCATCAGATTGTGGGCATGGGTGCTCTACTTCGATGGCGAGAGACTTGGGCCTAGATCCATATTGAAGTATCGTAATTGTCTTATCCTCCCGACCTGTTTAGGAATAGCGCTAGTGTTTTAAAAAGACTATTTACTGGCATCATTTAGCCTTAACGATAATGTGCACTGTTAAAATTTATCTAAAATACTAATGTTAATCTTTAACACTATTCCCAAACAGACCCTCCGTGTTTCAAAATGAATCTCTTTTTTAAAATAAAATATAGTTTGCAGCATTTGAGAATGTCAGGTTTTAAATTTTTCACAAACTCAGAAATAGATGTAAGAAGTATTTTTGAAATGCTTTTAGATTCTATTATAAAAGTTATTAATTTGCAAAAGGTTAAAAGCTAAACCCAATGTATCTAACAACTACTTTTGAAAATGTTATCTAACAACTAATTTTGGGTTTAACAAGACCTGAGCCATTAGTTTTTCATTTATTAGGATGCTTCTATATTTCGAGTAAAGTGTCGTAGACATTTTTGTACTATTTAAAATTGTTCAAATTAGTCTCTATATTGAAAATTGAAATGATTCAGCACGTGTACTATTTTTGTTTAACCTGGTGTGTCATTCTATCTGCTTGTACTTTTACCTACATTCTCAAACTCTAAACGATCACATATACTCCATAATTTATCATTAGTAATGCTAAAGTCAAACAAAATATCCACAAAATTTATAAACTTGCCAAATGTGTAAAGTATTGGGTTCAAATAATGGTCTCAAATAATTAAAAAAACTAAAATACTCCCTCCGTCCTAAAACTTTCTTCCCGTTGCGCAAAACGAAGAAAAATCCCACGTTTTTTCAATCTATTTTATTTAAATATTGGTATAGAAATAAAAAATAAAACATACATATTTAAAAACTACATCAAAAGTTCAACAAAACAAGTGGTGATAGGAATATTTTATTTTATCATATAGGCCATGAAAAAACACAAATAAATATAAATTCCCGTAAAGTTAGAATAGTGCTCTGAGAAGAAAGTTTTAGGACGGAGGGAGTATATAAATGATAAATTTGTTTATTTTGTGAGTATTTTGTTTGTGACTCTAGCATTACTCATTTACTATAGATGATATGTAAATGTTGATTTGGCTTACTTTTTAAGAAAGTCGATGACTTCTTAAGTGTATGTTGTGTCTATTTAAGAACGGAGTGTTTATTATTCACATGTTGATTTGGTTTGTTTATAATGTTTGATTAAAATTATTTTCAATTCAACTTAAACGAAAATTAGTGTTGGATTAAAAACAAAAAGTTATATTTTTATGAAATATATCAAGAGTTTTACAAAATAAGGTGCAGTGACATTATTATAATATTTTATCAAATGAGCAATACAAGAACAAAGCATTATCTTAGGCTAAATGAATCAAACGACATCATTACGTCCTACCATATATCGTATATGATGTGAGATCATTCACGTGAATGTTCCCATTGAACCAGGCCCGCCCAATTATTTTAAAAGGCCCTGTGCTATTTAGTACTTTTGGCTCTAAACTTTTTAAGTTAAAATAAAGAAAAATGTTAGGGGTACACTTTTGGTGTACCCCGTTTGTCCCTCACCCCCTCCATAACCACAAAAAAAGGCAAGAAACTAAAAAAAAAAAAATAAATAAAATAAAATTGAGTGGTGCAGAGAGGGGTGGGGGATAAATAGGGTAAACCTTTGGTGTACCCCTAGCATTGCTCTAAAATAAAAGTTGTGACAATACAAATGTATCAATATTGGTGATTCCATTAAAAATAATATACAGAGTAATAAACTTCAAGTCCTTTCATCAGTGGATCAATAAAACCTAAGAATTGCACATGTCGCAATGCAAGTAGTTTGAATAATAACTTTTTCTTTAGAATTTGCTTTTGTTCAAAAAAAAGTTAACTTGCAAGTAAAATCACTTTTAGAATTGAAGGAACAAAATAAGAAATAATTCATTAATAATTAAAAATCAATTTAAAATTGGATTTTTAAAACTGAATTAAGTTCTTAAAACTGAATTTAGGAATGAAAAAAGTAGATCAATTTTAAAACAAATTGAAGATGAAAAAAACAGAAAAAACAAAACAGATTAGTTCTTAAAGAATTGAAAATAAAAAATTATTAAAGATGCATCCTATAAATGAAAAATCAAACACAATTGACACAAGATTTGAGAAGGAACGTATCGAAGAGCCTTGAAGAACAAAGAAGGTAGAAGGAAGAGTCTTAAACAACTTAATTGACTTGAGATAAACTCATGGGCTTTTAATTGAATTACAATGGGCCCCATCATTTTGGAGGCCCTGTGCAAGAGCACCTCTTGCACTCCTCATTGGGCGGGCCTGCATCGAACACTTCTTGTCAAGTAGTCTTTTTGGGTCTACATCTTTCTATAACCACATGTTTATTCACTATTTGATCAATCATTCTCACAAGATGCTCTATTGATCTTCTCTTCACATGTCTGAACCATTTAAGATGAGTTCCCACCATCTTTCCTACAATATGTGTCACTCCACTTTAGCTCTCATTTCTTCATTTCTAATTCTATTCATACATGTATGATCACTCATCCAATGAACCTCTTCATTTTCAACACACTAACCTTGTGTTAATGTTCATCATTTGTTGTCCATATACAATATAGCTAGTCTAATCATTGTACGAAAATTTTCTCTTTAGTTCTAAAAAAGTATTTTTTTTGTCACATATAAAGCTCGAAACACTTCATCATTTTGACCAACCGGCTTGAATCTTGTGGTTAATATCATCATCTATTTCTCTATTATCTTGAATCATACACCCAAGATATCTAAACCTCTTTACTTGTGTAATATAATATTTTTCTAACTTTCACCTTGAATGAGTAATAAAAATAGAAAAATATAATTAATATTTGATAGACGCATATAATATAGAGTTATATGAGAAACATTAGAGTCACAAACGTATATGTCACAAAATACATAATCTTAATACGGCTTGGTTCTATGGTCTCATTTTAAGGGATCACGGAGTATATTATTCCAATCGGGAAACCTACGGTGCTTCGTTTGCAAAATTCATTGTTCCTATCCCACATGGCCTCATAACTCGCGATAAACCTCCCCACATAGTCCCGACCCCAACTCATCCCTGACTCACTATCACGGGAGGTTGAAACATTCAATTTTGCAAATAAAATCTCGTAAGTGAGTGACCATGGAACCTGTGTGATCTTAGTATTTGTATACTTACCAAGAAACAAAAAGGTTTTAAATCATAAAAGTTACAGAGTAAAATTTGAAGGCGAAAATGTCAAATATGTGTATTTTGTAAGCATCACGTTCGTAGTTCTAGCATTTCTCAAAGTATATATGTAATTTACATTTGTTACTTGTTGTGTTTCGTTTACTTATGACTTCACTTTTCATCTGTAGCCCACTAGCCTAGATTAGCACCCTTCTTCTTCCCACATAACGTCGCATCTCGCATTTAGGATTTTCCTCTTTAATTTCTCTCTTCCACATCCGAAGAACCTTTTCTCTGTTTCAAAGATGCAACTTGCAGACACAAAGCTAGCATCTACACCACTCACCGCTCTCTCTATGCGATTCACAAATCACATAATTGTTCTTACCTCCATCTTTGAGATCATAGTTGGACCAACATCTCTATTCTTTCGATCTTATTCGCAATGAAGAATTTTTCTTTTTATTCTTGTTTTAAACTTGATTCTTTCTTTTTAGAGTGAATTTTCAAAACGGTCATATCGAATGAGGTGTTTTTCCAAGTTATAATTAGTCCTCAATATATAAGTTTTAATTACATATATGATATTTTATAATTGAGATATATTCCCTAAGTAGTCATTTGTAAAAAAATGTCACTTAAATGGTTACTAATTGTAGGGTATTTTGGTATTTCTATTATCTAAACTTAAAGTATATTCTCAAAATGGTCATTTCAATGCAATTTCATATAAAATTAAAACGATTGTTGATTATACGTAGTCCATGCATTATTAAAAACTATCAAAATATTTTAGAATTTGAATTAAATATACCTTCTTAATTAGAAACGACCATTTTGAAAAAATACTTTACTTGAAATTATCATTTTGAAAACTTAGTCTAAGCTTAGATGCTGAAAAATATAAAAATATTCTATACCTAATCGATATTTAAGTAACATTTTCTATCGAGGACTATCTAAAAACTAAATCTCAATTATAAAGTACCACATATGTAATTAAAACTTATTGAAGACTTATTTGGAAAATAACCTTATTATATAGGACAATTTTGAAATTTTACTCTTCTTTTCATTACATTCTCAGGCAAATTAATGAATTAGTGTATTTGTATGAATCAGTCTTTTCTGTTTAAATAGGTTTGATCTAATTGATTTTGGTCTAGATCGGTCTAAAACCGACTACTAATAGTTCCAGTCTTCAGTTCCACTTTTACCTCAATTCTGTTCGATTTGGACCTAAATGATGGATTTAGACCGGACTGGACCGAAATCCAATATCCTAGAAAGTGTGGATCAAAGACTGACCTTAAATGCTATCGATCTAGGTTTGATTTGGACCTATAGGTCTGGTTCAATCTATTCTTTCGGTCCAGTCCTGGGTCATGCTCTCCTCACCTGATCTGAATTGTTCTGATCTGATTGAAATAAGTTCGAGTTTGATTTGGTCTCAATGTAGTTATATTAAAGTTGATTCTGATTTGATCTGACGTGATCTTAACTAATTTAATTTCAATAAGAAAAATTAATAAGTAATAAGAATAAGTTGAATAAAATATACCCCTAATGTTGAACATCCCTGCTTAGAACATGTTCTTTAGAGCTTAAATTCTTAACTTTCTGTTATTTTCCATTCACTTAAGTTTCTTTGAGTTACTTCCATTTTTCTTCCAGTTTTTCCCACTCCCTTCTAGTTTTTCCCAGTTTCTTAGAGAACCTTCCATTTTTTCTAACTACTCTCCTTTTTTCAAACTCTTTCTATTCCCCAACTAATTACTCCAAGAATGTTATATTATTATTATTACAACTATTTTAATCTTAACTATAGTTTATAAATTATTTCATTTTTTCATCTCACAATTTTACGATTCACATTCATTATTATTTTTTTTCTTTAACTTTTTAATATGAACAATATAATTTTTTTGTATATTAATCTAAATGATAAAATAGAAAAACACCAATATTTTAAACTATGATAAAAAAATTATTGATAGAATGGTTACATTGAAAAAAATAAAGAGGGAAGATGAAAACAATCAGCAAAAAATGCCAGAAAACGAAAAAATGGAGCAGAGAAAAAAAAGATCCCTTAGCTTTCCCTTTATTACTCATTTTTTTTTTAAATTTTATTTATTTCAAAAATTTAATTTTTTTTCATTTTTCATATTTTAATACGAAATTTCGAAAGTGAGAGTAGTTTAGAAAAAAAGACTAAAGTATGAGTAAAACATAAAAAAATGTACAAAAATAAGAGTTATGTGTCTTTATTCCATAAGTAGGAGTTAGAATGAAAATAAAATGTGAATTATGAAAGAAAAATAGGTTTGATTACATTACGTGACATTTTTGATATTTAAAACAAAATTTTGTAATATATAAAGTATAATTACAATATATTATTTTATATAATAAATACTACATAAATAAATTGAAGTACGACGTAACCACAATGACTTTTTAAAATTTAACGTTTTGATATTTATGTTGATTTTATATTTTAATTAATTCTTTTGTTCAAAAGTATTTTTTTGTATATGAAAAATAACAATATTTTTTTTCTTAAAGACATTCATTAACATAATGGATGATAATAATTACAATAATTTATAACAATAACAATTAGAATGAGAATAATACAAAAATACACTAAAATAAATATTTTAAAAGTTTTTAGATTTTACAATTTTTCCTAATTTTTCCAGTTTTATCTAATTTTTTCCAGTTCATTTTCATTCTAGTTACTCTGCAAATTATATTGTACAACCGGTTGTACCGTATTTTCGGTACAGCCGGCAATTAAGTTGATTGAAGAGAGTTGCGCCAACGCCTATTGCTTCGAAGTAGTCACCTGAAATTCCCGTCGGAATACGCCGTGGGTGAAATTGGTGATTGCCGAGGAAGAGAAGCGATCTGGAGATTGCGGCGAATTCGTCAGATCAGATCGGAATCCACATCGGCGCGGCTTGCGCAGAGAGTAATCTGCATCGGCGGCTGTATCTGGGGAGAAGCAATTGGGAGGATAGAGTAGATACACGCAGGAGCAGCAGGGCCCAATAAATTTATATTTTCTAAATCTGAAACTAATGAAAGGTAATTTACTTGAGAATGAGCATTAACTTATTTGAGAATGAACATGATATTTTTCATAAATAAATATTATAATTATATTGAACAAAAGTGTAAAAATGAGTACTACGTTATCTCAAAATGAATATTACGTTATTTTAGATTGAGTATCATTCTATTTCAAATTGAATAGTTATGATTGTGTGAGAATGAGTACTACTCTACTTTAGAATAAGTACTACCAGTTTACCATATACCCCTCTAGTTACTGTTTATTCGAATGCTTTCCTGTTTCTGAACACACACTCTTTATATTCTTACTTGCCCCCAATTGGTATATCTTTCCCGTTTCCAAACCCTGACTAGTCAAGGCACACCATCCCATCGGCCATCGCCAAAGAGGTCGCGGATAGGGTTATTACCTCCACTTTTAGCAGATTTCGATTCGGTCTACGGGGTAACAACTCTTAAACCCTAGATCTATTAGTAGTAGGTTGAATTGTGAG